TTTTCAAAATTTGAAATGGGGAAGGACGTAAAAAAACATTTTAGTGCTAGATATTTGTAGTCAAAATTTTCTTATCAATTAAAATGGTTTCTCAACTTAATGACAAATCAAAAGAAAACAAATATGCATCTCTCATTTACCATTTGTAATATTTTCCCATCAAATATTAATATCCCCCTTAAAACAATCGATGATGTCCCCAAAAAGAAGATGTCGTTCCATTGGCTACACCTGCTGTCCAAAAAGAAAATATGGTTCCTAATCAAAATCGGTTCGGTTACATTTCGACCAGTAATAATATCGATATCAGATGGAGCAGTCGGAACCGAAGACACACAGCCAAGCCAAAGGACACACAGCGAGGAGGCGAGGGGCAAAGGCAAGATAAACACACAAGAGACAGACGAGAGACAGAAACAAGGAGAACATGCCCCCTAAAGTATGAAATTCGCATAATTTTCGAGACCGATCTCAGTGGCATGACAGAGCCAGATAATCATTTAATGCCCTCCGAGCGGAACGCCCCTGGATGAAAACTGGTACGAGAGCTAATAACGTTGCGTTTTTTCAGATATAATATATATCCAGCTTCGGAATCGAGCTCACACTACTGCGAACAAACTTCTGGGGGCCTTTTGACTCCACTCCACTCGACTTGACGCTACCCTTGACTTTTTGGTTGTTCTTGTTTTTTTTTTTTTTTGCGTTTTTTTCTGCATTTTTTTTTACCGCCGCCCATTTGTATTTACCTTATTCGCTGGCGTTTCTCGGCTTTTCGGATTGACAGCTCTCGAGTGACTCTCGCAAGTGTTTTCGGGTTCGGGCGACACAATGCACCTTCCCCACCTGCAGCTCACACACACATACGTAAAAAACAGCATTATAAAGGGGCAGAAGGAAAGCATACTATAACGAAAACCATACCATAACATAACATACACCGCACGGCTCCTTTTGAGGCCTCGGATTGGAGGATTGGAGGATTGGAGGAGGCGACGAACTATTTCTCCCGTTAACATGTTCACTTCTCGAGTGTTTCCTTTGTGAGAATCGCTGACTTGACTGACTGGCTGACTGACTGTCTGCCAGTATGAGGCCTGGTCGCTCGCCCGGCCGGCAAAACTACTGACACCGCCATGACGGCTGCCTTTCAAAAAAAAAAAAAAAAAAAAAAAAGCGAAAAAAAAAGCGAAAAAAAAAGAAATACAAACCCAAACGCAAACGCGCTGAGCCCAATGCCAGGTCCCCAATTGCAGTCCCAGTTCCAGAGCCTGTCCTGTTTTCCTCCGTACGTCCCGCGACCAGTGTTGACAAAAGAGTTAGAAGCCAGAAAGCAGCTAACAAAACGGCTATCATTGGGTTGTACAACTAATTGGGGCTCTTTTTTCCACTTCAAAAAACTTACTAGCTGTTACAATAAATATTAATAAAATCATACATATTAGCTTGTATAAATGTACTAGTAAAATTTTAAAAACAATCAACAGTACTTAATTATCACTTATTCCTTTGCAACACTGAGCGATACTAAAACTGAAAATTTTAAACGTGTGAAAATAATTTTAGTTGTAAAAATGTTATAAAAAACATGAGAATATTCAATCCCCTACTATAATTTCAAAGCCAGTAATTGCTTTAAAAGGCGTATCGAAATACCATACAACATATGTTAAAAGTTTACGTCAATATCAAATTAAAATTTAATAGTCGAAAAGTGTAGAGGTTTTCAACAAAACTGGATAATAATATTATCCTAATTTTGGCAGAAAAACCGCCAGTTGAACAATCCCGATTGGTGGCCATATTTCAGTTGACAACGTGGGGCTTTCGTCATTAACCCCAAGGATTATGATTTATGCGGAGTTGTCAGCCCGCTGAAAAAGTTATGTTGTGTGTTGCTCAGTTTGTCTTCGATTCACCGTGGATCAACTGCTAATGGGTTGCCAGATCTTTTACCGCCAATAAACATTTATATACCTATACATATACATATAAGGAAGAAAAAGAAGAAGAAGAAAAACGGTGACAGGGACGGTTCACCAAAAGGGTTAATGCCGAAATTCAAAAGGCCTTAATGAAAAGTTCAGCTGATTTGACGTCCCACTCGAGAAATCGCTCGGTTGGCGCATTCAAGTCAAAGTCACCATTTGCCACGTCCGTCCATCCGTCTGTCCTATACTATAGTATACTATATATACGATTTATACGAGGTGTACGCCAAAAGCGGAGGAGAAACGACAAAAAGTCAACCTGGTCGAGAACGCGAAGTCGAATCCGTGGCACGACAACACGACATCGTTTTGTACGTCACTCAAAACGTTCGTGGGCTGTCAGGGAGACAGTTCAAAAAATGAAATATGTATATACACATTATAACAAATTCTAAAAGGAAAGACACAAGCACATGCACTCGACGAGGAAAGTCTGCTGCTAGTCAGACAGCCAGTCGAAGTCATTGATTGAACATTGACGTTCACGGCGGAAAACAACAACCATATCAGCTCGGCAAAAAAGCTCCCCTGTTGATGTCACTAAATTTCCAGGCATTTCAAATACCATTTTTATAGGGCTGAGGGTTACGGTTCGATTTGTTTTAAATTGCGTTGACATTTTCATGACCTACAATAAAAAAAAAGTAGGAAAAAATAACGAAACCCAAAGTCAGTATCTAACATTTTTTGACACAATCTAAATTTTCATCTTACAAACCATTCCATTTTTTTTTTCCACCAATTAGAATTCTATAAGAAAAGATCTATAAATATAGATCTATAGGTAGATTTTTATCATAAGAGTAATACAGAGTAGGTATTTAATTATCAAGTAAGGGTAATATGTTTTTCTCTGTGCAACATATATGGAGTAGATCTGAACTGGTCGAATCGTAAACCAAGTTCGATGCCTACACCCATACGGAGTGGAATTCGAAAGGGGGGTCCGGCTCTCAAGAGCCGGCGATGGCGATGGCGAATGGTGACGTTGCCTTTCCTTGTGCTGAAATGCTGAAATGATGACACGATGACACGGACAGCGAAACGAACACGGACATGGAGTCAGCAGACAGGGGTCGTCCGTGTGTCCAGACCGAGATGGAGATGGAGATGGAGACGGGAGAAGGGAATCGGAATCGGAATCGAAGTCGGAGTCAAAATCCAAGTGTCATTGTCATCGTTGTACATTTTGATTTTATTATTGATTCAATTACAATGTCAACGGGGCAGCAACAGTCGTGCTGGGCGGAAGGATCAAGACCGAAGTCGCGGCGGCTCTGGTCAAGGATGAAGAGCCACCAAGAAGGGAAATAAAAGCACCGGACACATGAAATATTCAGTCGAAATACCAGTTCATTAATCAATCAGCGGTTGGACTCAAAAATTGAAAAAAAAAAAGGGACTGTAGTTTCTGTACGATTTTCATTTTGGTTAAATGGGGTTGGGACTACGAAATAAAAAATACTTCAATTCTTTAAAGCCAAGTTTGGATTTAAGGGCAACTTGCTTATGTAAATGGTGTAAGAATGATTACATTAGTTCTTATCAATTTTCAAACAGAACCTGCTCATAATTTAAACATATTTCAAATCAGATGATGCAATACTATAGTCTTATCAGGCGGCTACGTTATATATAATATTTGATGGCTGACGATTTGGCTGGTTGACAGGCGCTGCTGTCACAAATATAATACGTGTACCAAGCTGATAATTCCGCTAATGAGTTGCACCAATGTTTGCACAGTTAAAACTGTTAACTGTCCAAGACTTAAGCCCACACGATAAGTAAACAAATACAAATTTCGGGGATCATATGCGAATGCCTGAAATACTCTGTTATGAGAGCTTAATAAATTATTATATTTTTGTTTAAAACCCCTAAGTTATCAAAAACAAAAGGTGACATCTGATAGTAGCTTAGGGATAATATTTTTTTGAGGGACAGGTTCTTTAAATATTTGCAGGGTACACGAATAGTTGGCACACCCATACACACATTGGTTTCTCTTTACAAACACACAATGGCCATCATAACTGACGTTAACACCTAAATGGTACTGCTAATAAGCCGTTTAAATTTGACTTCTTCTTTCTTCTCTGCAAGTGTGGTTTTTGTTGCCAGTGCTAATGGCAATAAAATGATTAGCTTGTTTAATTGGTTTTCATTTTTCGGTTTTGTGTCATACGTTATGTACAAAATCAGTGCTACCGTTTTGTCATTTTACCGGTTAGATTCGTCTTTCTTCAAGCATTCTTTGTACAAATTGCCAAAATCTACTTAAAAAAAAAAAAAAAAGAATTAGGTAACAACTTCGCCATTCAATTTTAAATAAACCTGGAGTTTATTAAATGACTTTCTGTCCTGAGTTTTAACACTGCTCTAGAGCTATTTTTTTTAAATAGACAACTTTCTATGAACTTGCAATGTGTATTCCAAATTCAGTAAGAGCTTTGCAGAGAAAAATTCTAAAATTCTAATTTTAATTCAAAGACAAGCGAAATACATTTTACATACATATTTAGATTGCTATTTAACTTTAATTGAAAACAAATATTTTGTACGCATTAAAAGAGTGAGTAGCACAGTCGACTTAAATCTTTTATCTAAAACCAATGTGACGAGTTTTGTGTGCCGAGGCACTTTGCACATTTTTCGTACCTTTTTAGAAAAGACTCGGATTAAATTTTATGGTCGTTTATTATATTTTGTCATTTGATTTGAATTAACACAGTTTCATGGGGAGGGAAGGGTTTTAACAATACAAATAGCGTTGACTTCGGGCCATTGCGGCAATCCCGCCGAATCGAAATCGATATTCGGAGGCTAAGAGATTTGGTTTTTGGCATCGATGTGTGAAATGTGTCGAATTGTTGATGTGTGCCCAAGAATTTGACATTTTGACGGACGTGTTGGCACAAATCATCAAAACTTGTTGTGAGATCGTGATCACCCAGACTATAGCTCTAACCACTCGCTTTTCTTTCCATTTTTTTTTTGTTATTATAGATCTGCCGTGGAACTGCTCTGCATACAAGACTTTGAAATATATACCTATATATATAAACAGCCACCACGCACTTCAGGAAGTCGGTCCATAAACCCAATAAGACGTAAGTAGATATATGTATATACATATACAAGTATAAATTTAAGTATATATAAAGGCTTTTCTCGACTTCCTCATACCGGTCACTCGACGACCATTTCGACAATGTCTCGGCAAAACTAATTTGTATATCTCTATCGGCCGACGAGATGACTACAGATTTGCTTTAGATACGGCCCAGCACACAATAGAGTCACAACGCTATTAAAAACTGATATAAATCTCATTAAATGCGATGCTTGTAGCAGATGAACAAAGCCGCCGCCTCAGTTTCAGTTTCAGCCTCGGTTTTATCATCAGTCTTAAGCTTCAGTTTTGTTTTTCTTTTCTTTTTTTGTTACTTTTTTTTTGGGTTTCAGCCTCGGCTCTTATTTTTTCAATCCGCAGTCTCCTTGCCTTTCCTTCAATCAATCGTTGATTTTGCTCCCGGCAACAAACAAGAATGGCTTTTGTGGTTTACTTGAGATCAGTTCGGCGTACTTTCAGCAGAGGCTCTTTTGGCCAAAAATGCCATGGCCAAGCCTATGCAAGCGATGGCTTCAGCCAGCTTCAATAGCCATATAGCCATGTAGCCTGTGCCAACCTGGATGGTTGGTCGATGGTTGGTCATCAACTCGGTGACGCCCCGAAAGCGATAAGCAAATAAACAAAAAAGCGGCCAAATCGCGACTGTCCCTTGGATCGATCGCTGAACGATAAGAAAGTCATTGTCAAAGTAGCGAAATACCAAGCAGATTCTCCATTGCCGTTGAAGTCTTTTAAAGAAAAACTGATGATGAACCAAAGACCTTAATTCAATAACATTATTAAGTTCGTTATTTAATTCGTGCCAAAAGCTAATCTAATTTTTGCCAAATATTGGAAAAGTACAATAAAGTCAAACGACCTTAAAATCTTCGAAATTGCTTCGCCAGAATTTTAATAAAGTTAAGAAGAAGAAAGAAAGATTGTATAATTTGTAGAGTTATAAAAACAATGGGTAATTGCTTAAATTGAAGACAATCAAAATTTGAAGTTGTACATTTATTTAATAATTAAATATTAGATAGATGAACCATTTCGTTACACTAAATAAGTTATGTGCCAGGAAAAATAGGAAATCACATTCCAAGATCCCGAATTTGAACCAAAACTCCCTGATTCTTCCACTCAAACGCTCCCATTCCGTTAAAAAAAAAAGGAGAATAAGGCAGATGCTACACAGAAAAGCCCATAGATCCAGTAGCCCCAACATCACACTTTCCATCCGATGATGTTGATGCGGCTTCGTGTCTGCGCTTGAGGGCTAACCGACCTATCCACTTAAAACACAGTCTAAGCCCCGGATTACGACCATTCTGACCATTCTGGCCGACTGAATCGGGCCGAGGTTTTCAGGGAGCCGGGGAGCCTATGGAGCCTTTGGAGCGGACCCCTGCTAGGCAGACCGACCCAAACATCACGTCTGATCGGCTGCGACAGTCGGCCGAAGTCCCAAGTAGCGCCAGAGCATACACTGACCGAAAATCCCGGGTACATTCAAGCCATTTGTGGTATTCGGAAAATTAAAAAGTTATTTTTTAAAAAAGTGAACAACTACAATATGTTTTGATATGTCACTTTACACTTATTTGGATTTTAACAAAGGTGTTCTGTGCAATACAAATTGTTTACTGTTTTTTTTTTTTTTTCATTGAAATATTTTTCATTCCTTTCTAATTCATCTATCTCATAGATAAGCTTTTCTTCGTAACCTATATAATATTATATATTTTCTGTAAGTGTAACTAAAGTTAGATTTCTCACCTGCTTGCCAACAATCTCTTAGTGTTTATCAAACGGGATGGCGTGATTGGTAGAAAAGTATGACAAATTAGCTCTAAAAGCATGTAAATATTAATAACCATAGAACAAAATGAGTGTATTATGAAGGAGAAACATTTTTCGACTTCAAAAAGAAGATATGAATTGGCAAGTTCTTCAGATGTTTAAGGCCCTGGAACAGACTTCAATGGGAAGTTTACTGGGTAAAGAAAGAAAACAAAGCATAGATAAATAAGAATTTTATATGGATCACCCAAAATCGAATGGAAAAGATATTCTAATACGCTTCAAGGAATTTATGATTAATTTTAATTTGTAACTTGAATATAATTGTAAGTTTCAACACCTTCCATTTCAAAGGCGAACTTTGAATGGTTCTCAGAAATGTTTTCTCTGCATTGATGCTGCATTTGTCGAGTAGCATTTGCAGACCCTTTTCCTTTGCCTTTTCCCTGATTTGGGTCCAAGTCCGAATCCAAGTCCAAGTCCAAGTCCAAGTCCAAGTCCAAGTCCATGTTCGTGTTCGTGTCCTGCGATTGAACACCGCTCGATGTTGGCGCTCTCTTCTGTGGTTTCTACCGGCGGGGCAACCGGCGGCTTTCGTCAGCGATCCCACAAGGGATTTGCATATTAAAAAACAAAACAGCAACAACAACAACAAATACTAAGGGGGAAAAATGAAAATAAAAAACGAGAACAGAGAAGTAGCTTTTTATTTTCCTTCTTTTTTTTGTTGTTGTTGCTGTTGAAATCACTTTGTTAAGCCCTGTGTTCGGCAGCAGTCGGGGCGATTCAGAGGCGTTCATAATCAGAACTGAAGTGCTGCCTTGGTGCTGGGACTACTGAAGACCTGGAGATCCGGGGGAGGGGACAGTGGACAGCGGACAGCGGTCAGAGCGGTATTAAACATCGGCTTTGACTTGCCAAACACACATATCTCATGTGCGGCAAGCCGTGTTGACACTTTTAATGTGTTTCATAAATAAATTTTTACAAAATAGAGAGACAGAGCCACAAACTTGGACACTGCCCCTTGTGATCCCTGGGTTCGATTTGGTTTTGGGTTTTTTGGATCGTTTTTGGATCGGCTTGGGACCGTTTCATTTAATGGTTGACATCTTAAAAAAAAAAAAAAACGAAAAAAAGAAGAAATTTCTGTTGTTCGAGTTTAACACGCATTTATGACCGCCGCTGCTTTATGACTTTGGAAATGCGTTATGCGTTAAGAAAATGCGCCTTATGACGGCTGCCGCCTTATGACGGCCGCCGATTCTATGCGATAAAGCCAATAATAATCATGATTGGTGTCTGGAATGCCATTTTTCTTCCTCCTTTGTTCGGTTCGCTGTGGATGCGAGTGAGCGAACAGCTCGCAGCTTAGCGGCAATTTTGTTATGAGACGAAAATGAGTTTCATGTGAAATACGAAATTAAAAGGAGTTCTCTCATCTCTCGGACAGATTCTCATCGTCGTCGTCGTCATCGTCGTCGTCGTCGTCTGTCTGCCTCGCCAGTCGAGTCCAAGCGCTTCCATAAATGTCGATGAAACTTTGGGATACAAATTGCCCCGAACAACATCGATTGAGGGTAACGAACATGTGACCAGTGTTCCTCAGTGGGATAATGAAGTTTAGTGAGGAATCCGTCACAAATTAAGCCTGATCCTGGGTAGCAGGCATATAAATCTTGCTCAACAGCCATTAAAATAATCCGTAGTACTCTAATCGCTTTTAGTAAGCAAGCTCAACTGACAACGTTTAATACAATATAATAAAATAAAATGTGTAAGAATGTTACATTTATGGGAAGTGAAGATCAAAGCAAATAAATTTAAATTTCACTTTCTTAACTAAGTAACTAACGAGTTATTCCAAAACTAACCAAATAGTTTATTATTAAACGATGCAAATATTTAAAAGTGTCATTGTGGAAACTGGTAATAAGAGTAAATAATAAAAATACAGCTTCCGTAGTGGGAAAATCGAGGCTGAAATGCTGTCCAACAACTGTGGACTATGAACCCTAATTATAGGCAGACAACAAAGCTCCAATAATATTCACTGCAAACTGTCACTTTTATGCAATCAGTAGTGCTCAGAGCAGATGGGTTCACATACACAGCACAGCACAGCTCTCGTGCACATGATGCTGAAAGGAGAACTGGTTTTGGTCAGAACACACAGATTCGGAACGTGTCAAATCACAAATACACAAGGCAAAATAAGTAAGAAAAAAATAAAAAAATTAAATATCAGCCGAAAGCAATTAAAAGCTGCCGTTGACGAGACTGTCGCGTCGTGCATCTCAGGTTATAAATGCCGGCAGAACGACAGCGACAATTCCTTATTCGCCAGTTGAACAGAATCCGTATGGAGAGCTGAGCAGAACACCACAGAACAGAACAGAACAGAACAGAAAGGTAATCGTAATAAATGTCATTACAACAACAGCAGCCCGAACAGGTGGCAATTAAAAAACAATTTGTATAGCATTTAAATTACTCGCCAAGATGACATATATCATGCAAAGTTCCCCAATGCCAAATGGCACCATCCGAAAGCAGACGAGAAATAAATAATGATAATAGGAGCAAATGTTAGCAGAAGTGGTATTTTTGATTAATATTTATGAAATGAGATTGGTCTGCATTTCTCAGGTTCTTGTTATATTTTCCATTATAATTTCTTGGGGAAACAAAATGCTTCTATTTAAGAAACTGCATGCCAATTATTGTTTAAGAAAAATAAGCATAGTAAGTTTTGAATTGAAAAACTTGCTATTGAATTCCAACGAAGAAAATGCGATCCCTTTTTTTATGAATCAAAAAAAACTTTCGTTGGAAATACTTTCGTTCTTATTTTATTGCAATAAAATATGGATCACTTGGAATATAATTATATTTGTCAATGTCCAATAAATACAAAGGTAAGTAACCATGGAATTCGTCGCGTATTCGAGCGGCACTCATCACATGGGATCATCAAGAGGTCGCGCGTAATGATCGCGATCTCTCGGCCTCGATCTCGATCTCGATGGAAGTGGAGTTGAATATCACGATCCCCAGATCCCCAGATCCCAGAGCCATATCGATCCGATCGTTCTGTCTCTGTCTCTGTCTCTGTTTTTGTTTCTGTTTTTTTTTCTGTTGCTCTTTCTTTCTTTTAGCTGGGATCGATTCGAATTCGTATTTCGACTTCGACTTCGATTCGGATGCGGATTCGGATCTAGTCGGGTTGGTGGGGTTCGGTTCGTATCTTATTGGATCGTCTGAAGATCGGCTCTTGTGTGGTGTGGGGCTTGGCTATGGCGGTGGATAAGAATGTGTCATGGGGACTTCAAGTGGCCGTAGACGACAGCGCGAAGAGCCGTCTTCTGCACACACCAGCACATTGTCATGTCACGCCGGGCTCTCCATACCCATATACCCATATACCCATTCTCATTCCCATTTTCATTTCCATTCGAATAATGTGTATGTGTGTAAGTGTGTGTGAGCGTGTGTGTCTGTCTACAAGTGTCCCTCTGCTCGCTCGCCGACTCTCCAGACGTGAAGTGTCCACTCAGAATTTGTCACATCATTATTCTTATTTTTATTTTCAATAATCATCTGTACTCGTGTATGCACGGCGTGTGTCTTGGGAGGTCTCGTTTGGTCTGTCCGTCCGTTTGTCCGTTTGTCCGCCTGTCCGTTCGTCTGTCCGTCTGCCAAGTTGCGGCCACTTCGTTAGGCGGGTTTCGGTGGAAACTCCTTGACAATGTTTGAGATGCAAGATATGTGTGCTATGAGGCGCTCGGACACGCTGCTCCCCAAGATCGTTTAATGCCACACACACACACTTCACTTATACTCATACTCACACCCGGTCGCCACAAACTTGGGCAAAATTAATTCAAATTTTACCAGGTACTGAAGGTGGTTCAAATGATACACACATGTGGCATTTCAGCGCGCCAACATTAGCAAGAATTTAATGGTAAAGTGGCAAACGAGTAAATTATGTAAAGATAAAATAAATGTTTAAAAATCTGTTTCTTTTTTAGTATTAGAGGTGGCTTTTGTTGAATCGATTGAAATGAAATAGTGTGCCTTAGAGCTTGACAAGTTTGTCAAAAGTCAAAGCAATTGTAATTAAGTACTGTGATATTTTGCTTTTACAAATTAAAGCCTCTTAACTCTTTTTTCGTTGCTAACCATAACATTACAATTTCTCAATGAGATCATTTGACGTGCATTTGTTGGTACACATATTACAGATATTCTTTATGAATTTGCAGCTTATCCCTTTAATGATGAATCTGTTGTGTTTTCTTTCTTTCAGCGCAACGACAAAAAATCAAGAAAAGGTGGAAGAACCCAACTGCACAGCACCTGAAACCTAAATGCCGCATCTAGTCTAATGTTTGGTCAGAAGTCTACAGATTAACTGCTGTTGTTCCTAAGCCGCTTGATGAATATTGGCCACGATAATAAACCGCACTTTCATCCGCATCCGCAGTCGCAACCGCATCCGCATCCTCAGCTGCCATCGAGCAGCAGCAGCAGGAGCTCCTCATCAGAAGCAGCAGCAGCAGCCGTCGATATAAATCGTTTGGCCGCCGCCGGCGATCGATCGATCAGTCCGTCGTCGTATCAGTCCGTGATTGCCGTTTCCGCTGCCGCCGCCGTCGCCGTTGCCGCCGCCGCCTCCTCGTACCGCCACCACCCACTACTGCAGCAAGGTCATGAGCGGCAGCAGCAGCAGCAGCAGCAGCACCACAATTCAGTTGCCAACCAGCTGCAACATCAGCAACAGCAACAGCAACAACACCTTTACCACCCAAATTTACCACCAAAAATTAGCAGTGAATCCGGTCATCCGATGGTGATGACCCCCAGTCGACGAACCTCACCAACCCTTCCGGCACTTTCGCATCAGCATCAGCATTCGCATCCCCATCCCCATCCGCATCCACATTCGCATCCACATTCGCTGCCCCTGGCGCTACCGTTGCGCCATCCCCTCAACCTGAATGCGAGCGGTCAGCAGCAGCAGCAGCAGCAGCAGCAGCAACATCATCTTCATCAGCAGCAGCAGCAGCAGCAACAACAGAATTCACCATCCCGCTCGCAAACGCAAACGCAGCAACCGCAATCCCAATCGCCGGCACAATCGATGAGCGCCCACTTTTCGCAGCTGGCCCACGCCCAGCTGCATTTGCAGAATCAGTTGCAGCAGAAGCTAAGCCGGAGCAGCGCTGGCAATTCCAATTCCGGGGGGGAAAGAGCGGGTTCCGGCAGCGTTGGCAATCCAGACAATCCGCTCAATCCGCTCAGTGATTTGCAGAATATGCAACCGTTTGATTTTCGAAAAATCAATTCGGCGGCGTTGGGTGCGTTTGCGGGTCCGCTGCCATTGCCGCCGAGTCCCACGGAATTCGGGCATCATCAGCAGCACCAGCACCATCATCATCAGCATCAGCATCACCTGCACCGGAGCAATCAGTTCTTCAATGCAATGGCGATGGCGTACCATTTGCCACCGCCGCCGCCGCCGCCGCCACCGGCGTCGAATGAGTCCCGCTCGCCACCGCCGCTGCCGCCGCCGCCGGGCGTTGGCCCCTATCCGCATCCAGCCGGTTCGGGATTGGGCTCCGGATCGGGTTCGGGATCGGGATCGGGATCGGGTTCGGGTTCGGGTTCGGGTTGCGGTTCGTTGGACGAGGGATCGGGCGGCAAGCGAAACAGCGATAAGGCAACCAATTCGAATTCCAGCTCCGGCGTAACTTCCCAGCGAATGACACGGCTGGCCTTGTCCTCCAATATGCGAGCCAGTCGAAAGACCCATTCACCTGGCAGCGCTGGATCGGGCGGAGGTGGCGGTGGCGGAGGTGGGGGAGGATCGTCAGGCGGCGGGAAACGGCAGTGGGGCACCATGCCGGCCAATTTGGGCACACAGTTCATCAATCCGGTGACCGGCAAGAAGCGGGTGCAGTGCAATGTCTGTCTGAAGACCTTCTGCGACAAGGGCGCCCTCAAGATCCACTTCTCGGCCGTCCATCTGCGCGAGATGCACAAGTGCACGGTGGATGGCTGCAGCATGATGTTCAGCTCGCGGCGATCGCGGAACCGGCACAGCGCCAATCCGAATCCCAAGCTCCATTCGCCGCACCTGCGACGCAAGATCTCGCCGCACGACGGACGCAGTGCCCAGCCGCATCCGCTGCTCCTCCAGGCGCCGAATGGTCTGATGGCCGGCCTGGCTCCCTTCGGTAGCTTCCCCCTGCTCACCCCGCCGCCGGACCTGCGGCACCATGCGATGGGTGGCTCCGGAGCGGGCGGTGGTGGGTCGGCGGGTGTGGGCGCCTTGGAGCTGAAGCACGGGCAGGATTATCTGCAGAGATCCTACCTGGATGCCGGGCGGTTCGAGGGACAGCGGCGGAAGATGACGCTGGAGAACGAACACACTGAGGACGAGGACGACGACGAGATCCTCGAGGTGGGTGCACAAAAGAAAAAGAAATAATAAAAAAGCTAAGCATTTTTCGACCTTCATTATTTTTAACCTTTTGATTAAACTGCAAAAAAGAAAAATGCAATAGAAAAGGTTTTCTAAAAGAAAGTGTTCAAGTGCACTTTTTTTCAATCGGAAAATAAATAGAAAAGATGAGAAAACACTCAATCCAAAAATAAAATCTGTTAGTTACGTATATATATTTTTTTTTTTTTTAATTCTAGGCCATTTTTCCGTTAACTTAACTTCATAAAGAATTCATAAAAGGTTTTAAATTCCCGTTAATCAATTATTCTTGTTGGCACCAAATTAAAAAAAATCTTTAAATGATCCAGATATCACACGAATAGACCCATATTACTCATCCGACCTGTAGGCTGTGTGAGAATTAGTGCTGTCTTAGAGTTTATGCGTAATATAATTATCTTTAGACGAAATTCTATAATTATCGATGCTTTAGTTAATTCAGTTTAGTTTTGGAACCAAACATTTCGAAGAAAACAGCCTACTATTTTGTAATGGGAAAGTGTTGTTGGTGGCCATTAAAAGTTGATACAATTTTCCATTGTTTATACGTTTTGCAGGTTGGCATCCATATGGCCGGCGATGACGATGACGACGAGGCTGATGGCGATGAGGATGACGACGACGATGATCCCGATGGCATTGTTGTGGTTGGCGATGAGCTCGATAGCATGCCGCTCGATCACGACAACGATCACGATAATGATAATGATAACGATAACGATAACGAGCATGAGAACGATAACGACGAGAGCGATGAGCGCTCAACGTCGGCGGTTTCCAGCCTGAGTCAAACCAAAGAGCAACCCAGTCCTCCGGGCAAGGCCGTTCTGTCCAGCGGCCTCGAGGAATGTCACACGCATGCCCATGTCTATGGCCATGCCGCCCATCACACACAGCACGCCCACGCCCACGCCCACTCGCAGCAGCAGCACGCCCTCGCCCACGCCCACCACTCGCAGCACGCCAACGCCAACGCCCACTTGCACGCCCACGCCCACGCCCATGCACTCGCCCAAATGGCAGCGAATAAACGTAAGCGCAAGAGCCAAAATCCAACGAGATGTCCCGTTCAATCGGACGAGAATTCCGGCGAGAATTCGGTGGACTACGATGTCGCCGCCGATTTGTCCATTAAGAAGGTGCGCCTGCCCGTTCAGGCCGCCGCATCCGCCAAAGAAACAGAGGTGGGGGAGTCGACCAAATCGATACCATCGCCGCCGCTAACGCCGTACGGTGATCTCAGGCCAGCGGTGGGTCTTTGTATCAAAACGGAGCAGGAGACCGAATCCGAGCCACCCGAACCGGAAACGGAATTCAAGAGGGAGCGGGTGGTGGAGGAACACGAAAGGGATACGGAAACGGAAGCGAGGAGATCGGGTGACGAAACGGAGGCGAAGGATCAACAACCGGTAACACCGGACACCAGTTTGGATCTTTCCCGGGCAGCGGCCGCCATCAAGTTGGAACCACTGGAGGAGATCGGCTACGAGGCGGACGAGAATCGGTATGTGCGCATCAAACAGGAGCTAATGGGCGGCGATGAGTCCTTGGCGGAGTCAGCGGCCAAGACTGCCAATCACAATAATAATAACAATAATAACAATAACAACAGCAGTGGCAATGGTTTGGTCGACGAGGATGAGCGCGAAACGGAAACGGAAGTGGATGTGGAACCCGAAACGGAACCAGAACCGGAACCAGAACCGGAACCAGAACCCGAAGCGGAACCGGAACCCGAGGTGCCCATCGACAAGGAGAACCCACTGAAGTGCACCGCCTGCGGCGAGATATTCCAAAATCACTTCCATCTGAAGACCCACCACCAAAGCGTCCACCTCAAGCTGCACCACAAGTGCAACATCGACGGCTGCAATGCGGCGTTCCCCTCGAAGCGCAGTCGCGATCGCCACAGTTCGAATCTGAACCTGCACCGCAAGCTGCTGTCGACCAGCGATGATCATGGTCTGTTGCATGCACCCAGTGTTCTGCCCACGGATCCGCTGCTCGAGCTAATGAGTCTTAATTTGAACAACAATAAGGTTGGTGGTGGTGGTGGTGGTTTTCCCCACTCAACGGTGGGCGGTTCGGTGGTGAATCCAGCGGTGGGTGTTAATCCAGCAGTGGGCAGCATCCAGGCGGAGATCCTGGCCAGAATCTGTGCCGGTGTCCATGCCCATGGACTGAATGTACCGCTGTGCTTCGAGGCGCTGCAACATCGATTCGCCGTGGGACACGGACACTCGTATCCGCTGGTCAACGATGGCAACGCACCGAATCCGAATCCCCGCCTGCTCCTGAGCCACGGTGGTGTGAGCAGTCCACTGCTCTTTGCCGGCCTGCCGCGAATGCCGAGATTTCCGCAGCTAACGCCGCACATGTTGGCCGGTAATCCGGGAATGGCGGCGGCTCTCAGTCCCTTCTGCCGACGAACTTCCTCCGATTCGAATTCGCAGCACTCGGTCACACCGCCGCCGCCCACGAAGCGATCCCGTTCGCGATCGGGGTCACCACATCCGGCCGAGGCAATCATCCCGGGCCTGGCCACCTCAAACACCGAGGAGGCGGGCCAGCGACAAAGTCCCGATCGCATATCATGACCATGTACCTCGTATTATGCCAAGGCCTTGGCATTTTATCACTAAGAGTGTCCTCATGTCATGCACACACCACACACACTCACGAACACACACACACACTTTGGAAAGTCAAATGCATCCATCTATAACATAGATTCTATATAATATATACACACATATATATCTATATAGAGTGCATTGCTCATGAAGATCGAGGATCGTCTGCCGCTCATAATACGAAATAAAAGCAAAAAATAAAATAAAAATGAAAATGAGAAATACTTTCACTTAGGCTAATGCTAAAATAAAATATTAGATGGATCAACTAGCATTTTTTTTCTATACTTAAATATACATATACTATATATATACAAATATATATATATGAGTCCCTTTTTTTTAAATTGTACTTATAAAGAACGGATGTTTTGTGTACAAGCGTCGTGTTGTAGAGAATTTATAAATGGCAAAGAAAATAACAAGTACTAAATAAATAAATAACGATACATATTGTTAGTGATACTCGATTATGTAAGTTAATAGCCACTAAGCAGCGCCTACTGGTATCGTGAATAATATTTTTTTTTTATTATTATTATTATTATTATTACTATCATTATTTTAACTGGAATATTAAGTGTGTTGTAAATGATATGGCGATGGCATTGGGAATGCAAAAATTAGATGAGTCAACGACGACGAAACGCTTGATATGAGGAATCGAACAAAATTTGATTACAGATCGATTACAGATTTATCGAATTAGGTAGGATCACTCATTCAAAGTCCTCATGATCCAAATCGAAAAAAATGATGTTTTGTTGTTTTTTTTTTATTACAAACAAATCCTAAAGTAATTATGTAGTCGGTTAGTTAGTTCTGAAACAGTAACCAGACAAATACCTTCAACTCATATTTAAGCTATATATGTTTGCAATAAAATATCTGAAAACTCTTAAATCTCTGTCTTGTAATTGGGGAAGGGAAGAGAAGGGCGTTTGAAAGCTCAAATTACATGATGGACTTCATGATATTAAGCTGGATTTAAATATACAATCTTTTATGAAATGGAATATGCGGTCTCAACTTCAAAATACTGCATACAAAACTGAAGGAATTTACTGTGCTACAATTGCATAAATCCTCCTCTATTTTCTGTAAAAACGGAGCGTTTTCAAAGCTGACAAAGTTTCTTTTATCCATTGTTGTATTCCCCTTAAAAGGAATTGTTTTTCACTGTAAAAAGACTTGAATATACCTTGTAAGTAATAAAGTTTGCAGGTCAGTTTTTTTAGATTTCAAATTAAAAAGGAGGCCCATTATTATCCTTAAAAACCTGATATAAAAAGATAGTCCCTTTACCATTTTTCTAATCATTGAATTATTTATGCTCTTTTATGGAGATACATTTTTATGTAGAAATAAACTAGAATAGTGTCCATCTTATCTTACTTCGGTTTCACTTTAAACTACTGTTGCTATTAAAATAACGAATTTTACAGTACGTACTCCCATTTAACGGAAAAGGGAGATACTCCGATGAACTTGAGCGCAGTGGGGCGATAGTTACACAGAAGAAGTATTGCAAATTGTTGATAACAATTAGGATTGCAGATAGCTAAAATGCATGAAGGTGGAAGTTGGCTTTTGTTTTCCGTCGTTTTTTTTTCGCAACGAAGAAGGGTTGATTCCCGCAAGCCGTTTAATTTTAGATCGATTAAGGGAAGCTCGTAAATTTTGCTGCCCCGTTCAGCGAGGGCGTCAGTGGTGTCCAAATAAATAAATGCAGTGCCAGTATCTGCAGGCGGAACATTGCAGGCAGGCAGGTCGGGTTGGGTCGGGTCCGTAAGGTGTGCTCCGTATCTTATATGGGTGGATATGGATATATATAACGTACGTACTAATATGTATATGTATAGAGTATGTAGATGTATATGGGTGCCATCTATGGGATACATGTGTGTGGTATGTGGTGTGTGGTGTGGTTGGCCATGTCACAACCCCTTGGCCAACCCCAAAGAATACTGGCTATATAGCACCGACACCGACACCATTGCCATCGGCATACAGCCATCGCCATATAGCCATATAACCCATTACAATGACCTCCCCCTTTTTTCCTTTTCCTCCCTATCTCCTTCTATTTTTTTTTTTTTTTTTTTTTTTTTTGAGGGCAGGAGCTTGTGTCTAGAAAATAGCTGTGCCGAGCCTCGGTGTGGTGCAATTTATTTAAAGTAACATTTTAGTGTTTCCTTCCGCTGAAATCCGCTCTCTTCCTTCCTGTTTCGCCAGGACTCGGTTCGGTTTTGGGTCCCTCTGTCTGTGCCCAGTGCTCTGTGCCATATCCACTGTTCACTGTTCACTGTTCAGAGCCATATTCTGAACTATGGGTGCCCGGACTCTTGCCTCTTGGCGCCCGGTCTCAAGTTGTACGGGGGAAAACAACAGATTGTGGGTAAATAAAATTGCCACAATGTTATCGTTGAGCCAGAAGCGAACACGCAGAAAACAAGCAGCAGGAACAGCAGACACAAGGCACGGTAATGTATTTTCCCTTAAATGCTTTTCACTCCTTTAAGCTTTGTTCAAAATCGAACAGTACGCATTTGCAAAAGTGGTTTAATTCAAGCGTTTAATACAATTAAATGCATAGAAAGGGTTGCTTTCAATTTCAAGATGTTTCTACATGCAAAACTTTTAGGAACAGTTGTAGATAATAAGATAAACCTCGAACAATTGACACTTTTATTCGATTGAATGAAATAAAAACTTGACAAATAACACAACTAAAACAATTGTGCAAATATATAAGAAACCACTTCTAATTAAATACATTTTCTAGGGTAATTTGAAGCAAATTGAAGCGAATCTGATTCAAAAATAGTTTGAACTGAACCCAAAATTTGTTGATTGATCGCGGGAGTAAGTTCACTGTTGGGCAAAAATCGTTGCATCCAGATACCGATTTCGTTTCTTTTGTTTATCTTTTCCTTCTTTATTTATTTATTTTTTTTTTGTTGCCTTTGCAGTCGTGGACTTACTGCATTTTTAAGTGCACCTGTCGTGGAGTGAACGTTAACCCGAGTCTAATTCAGATTCAAAGGCCCCAACAAACGCATACCAGCAGTCGAGCAGTCGAGGAGCAACCCAGCAGCCGGAGTTCTCGTAAACGAGCAGTGTCATCATCGGCATCATAGGCATCTTCTGGCCGGCTGCCACGACTCCCAATCGTAATTTAATGCTGGCGGTCAATAGCATTACTGCAGCAACTGCTGCTGCTGCTGCTGCTGCAACTAAAAACTGCAGCAACAACAACAGCAACAAAAGGCTTATGAACAAAAACAAAAAGCGCAGAAAAAAAAAGGAAAAAAAGCTAATCTGATAATACAGAATTGAAAGGGGCGGTCACGGCACGAATTTTGCTACACGCTCTCGATACGATGGCAGTTCTCCAACGCCCCAACATCCAACTGAACTGAACTGAAGTCCAGCGATTGACGTTGGCAGCATCGTCAACCGAACTTCTTCTTCTTCATCCTTCATATTGGTATAGTGCAGTATATATAGTGTATAGTATAGTATAGTGGTAGTAGGTAGTATAGTGCATCAGTGCACCGCATGCGGCTCTTAAAAAACAGAAGGGATCGATGGTCAGACGGTGAAATTGCCTTTGGCCGGGGCTAAAGTTGGAGCTCAACAAACTCCACGAATGCAATGTACCTGTGTGATAGAAGGTTGCTTCAGAAGCACCACAAAAAAACAACGAAAATAACAACAACAACAAGAACAACAACAACAACAACAAGAACAACAAGAACAATAGCCACAACACAAAAGTAGCAGCAACAACACCATGGGTCCTTATAATCTTCTGCGAGATTGATGGCATGGGACCAGATGTCAATAATTCAGAGCAATGGCGGTGGTTCACTGTACCCAATAGCAGTAGTTTACTGTACCCACTGCAATAGTTGCAGTCAATCGCCAGCGAGGAACGCGGTGAATAATATATATAATATAATGCCATAGCGTTTGATATTTCGTCTCAAAAGGAAATGACTAAAAAATGTTTATCGTGATTTCAGAAAGATTGCAAAGTCCAGTAGGAATGTCTCCTGGGGATTTTTCTGAATTAATTATCAATATCATGATGATCAATAATTTTTGTCCTTATAGTTTTGAGTCTATTTAAGATAACAAAATTAAATTCAATTAAATAAAATTATTATAAATCAAATAACTTTTGTAAATACTCTTAAATAGTTTAAAAATCAATTAAAATAGACTCGAATTTTCAAATTTTCGACCAGATCAAGGAGGTTTTCCCCGCTTTGAGCCAACTTGGGTCACTGCTGCCATGAAACGAAACTAGCAGAGGAGCAAAGAAAGGGATTAAAAAATCTGCTCAGCTCAATTATAAAAATTCATCCCAATCTCAATTCCCGCGAATCGTCGTCGTCGTCGTCGTCGTCGTCCCAGGCTCGTATTATTGCCATTCTGGCCTCACATCTTGGTGATCCCGATTCACTCTGCGTTTTGCTGTGGTCATTCGTCATTTAAAGTTCGCTCAGTCACACAGACACAGCGTCCGGTTTCCCAATCTTCAGCAGAAGAAGACCCAGAAGACACCATAATCTTGGCGATGCCCAGAGAGTCCCCACAGTCGCCGTCCAATTCGCAATTCGCAATTCGCAATTCGCAGTTCGCAAGTCTCAGGCTCAAGTCCAGGTCCCCAGTCATTGACACTGATATGTGTGGCTTTTGAAATGACAATCAGCAATTTGCTATTCGGAACCGTTTAAAGTAATTTATTTTTTACCCCATCCAGGACGAGATTCACGCGGCGCGAAGAGATCTGTATATCACACAAATGTGCGAGTGGCTCTGATTTGAATCTGATCTGGCTTCGTATGGGTTCTCGTATCCATCCAACCATCTCGTCCCTGTTTTATTACACTGCATAGACTTTGAGCGGGGCATTGACAAAGGATTTCGAAGGACAGCACACTCTTTCCGTTTAATTAATGACCTTACTACATTTGCTGCCTTGCAAATCAATCGCAGAGTCTCCACGTATACACTCATCAAAAAATTTACCGTTTTCGGGATTTATTAAATTAGGAAAAAAGTTCCATTCTCTAACAAACTGCATCATTAGTTAAGTTTTGCAAAAAAATGGGTTTGTTGAAAATTGACAAAAATTAACTACTCCTAAGCCCATAATTTGTATAATTTTAATCAGATTCCTAAGTGGTATAGTTAGTTTATATTTATAGTTTCCTACAATGTAAGTTCCACTCATTTTTTGAGTGTACCCACGAAGGATGGCCAAAACATTCCGTTATGGTAAATTGACTTCGTGAATATTTCATGTTCGGAAAAATAGTGTAATCCCAGCACCCACATCTTCGACTTTGGGTCCCATCGTTTCCCATCGCTCCAAGCACTGACCATCCCAACCAGTGATTGAGCACTGCATACGCCTCGCCATATGTCAACCCCTTTTCGGATTGTCCACTGTAGTTTCTGGATGCCCAATGATCCCATGTCTTGGGCACATCTCATAAATAATGCAGTCAATTAGACCAAGCGAGTGTGTAACACTCACCCTTCCCAAACAGGTCGATATGGGTAAGATAAGGATTTAGCTTATAAGTAATGAAACTAACATATGTTGATATTGGTTAAAGATTTTAAATAGACAACAAATTACTCATCCGCCATGTGGGTTATACATATCTGTGTATACAGAAAACGTGAGTACCACTTAAAAATATTTTACACAACAAAGTAATATAACTTAATTTGTAAGATTATTCAATCTTTTACCCTTATTTAAGGGTAATTGAATATTTACGCAATTTGCTAAAATGCATCGCTTATATTAATATTATGAGCCTTCTTTGCTGTGGATCTCCCATGAGAAAAGACCGCTTCATGGTTGTCTTTCTCTTTACCGC